TGGTAACGGGTTTATTTGGACTCGCTGGTATCGTACTATTATCTTGGCAAATTCAAATAAAATGTAAACCCCTATTCATGAAATTACGCCTTAAGGGACTGGCCCAACTATTTGCAGTGGAACTTTGCAAGTTCAGACCACTCACATATCGTCATAGAGCATATATTCAGTCACTGTTATATGAAGACCAAAACTTACGTGCAATTTTAATTGAATTTTCTGAAGCAGTGAACGAATTGAGTTTAGGCGAGATAAAATATATGATTGGGACAAATAGAAGAACGAGACAGCTTTGTGGATATTTAAGTATATATATCACTTTACTCCTTGATCTGTAAATTGAAGCGTAATGAAAAGGCTGCGTTAATTTTGCTTTAAATTTAAGGAGTAAATTTAAAATTAATGGGTAAATGAATCATAGATTTTATTTGATATGTCGTTTTATCTTTAAAAACAATTTCAAATATTAAATAATAAATCAGAAATAGCAAATAAAATAAACCATATCAAAATGCGTATAAATATTTTAAAGAACTATAAGTTGCCAATGTAATGTCTACCAATGTAATGGCGACCAATTTTCTCGGAAATGAAATGCAAAGCAACCGATTGGATATGATGACGGACAGGCTAGAGATATGCATTTAAAAAGTGCATATATATTTTAATCTCGCTATAGGGCGTTTCTTTCTATAATGAAGTTTTTTCAGGTACGCAAACAAACTCAACTAGCACGTTTCAACTTATGAGCTGGTGTATATGTTCTGCAGTTTATAATAGGGAAGAATGATGTTTTCTCGGAAGATTGCATGTATCTAAAAGAAGTGTGGTTGAATTGCAGCGTTGATATAATCGGTGTATCTTTTAACAATTTTATTAATATTGAAACAATGACATAGTCGCCATAGCCCATACTGCGAATGAAGACCATATCTTTTCTGTATGAAATAATTTTTTATTTATCCATTTACCCTACCTTTACCCTAACTTAAAGTGACTTGAGGTGATCTTTCGGTATTCTAGCCCATTCCTGAACAATGAATTTATTCAACGCATTCATACTGGTATATTTTTTAGCCCTTCTCATTGTGTGAACGAAATGAAGTGTTGAACATGATTTTTTGGTTCGAATGGTTCGTGGTTCACATAGCTGGTTGTGATTGTGATTTTCCAGCTAAATATAACGCAATTAAACTACGTTTGAGTTCCATTTCGTCTACTTTTGTTCTATAATACTTAGACGCAAATGCTTGTGGCTGGTAGTAAACAATATAAAAAGCTGTCATTCGTATCAGTTTCACGTAGTAGACAATATCAGTTTGATAGATACACCTGTGTGCAGTTGGTAACACTTCAATCGTTTAAACCTGCATATAGAAAACAAAAATTGATAAGGTACAGGTTCCCAACAGAACACAAACCAACTGTTATAAACAGAAGTCTTTTGACTCTCAGTCTTTTGAATGAAAAGAAAAATTGCACTTGTTTAAGATATCATGATATCATAATGCCGACGATGATGAGAATTTTCTTCCATGTGTTTTGTTCTTGGCCTTTATAAAAGACAGTACTATATGTCATAAAGACTGAGCCTAAATGTTTTATCTGCTTTCCAGCACAGTCGATAATCTGTGTTTCAAGAGAGCGCCATCTTATTAAAATATTAACGTTTGCCATTCCAACTCATCAGATAACCTAGGAATAGACTAAGCTCTCTTTTTGCGGGAAGGAACATCTTACTACGAGAAGTAGAGACAAATCAGGTCTTTAATTTGCTGATTATTTGGAGTGTCACACCAATGTTAACTCATTTCAGTTTCACATTAGAGAGTTGCTAATGAGACTTCTTATTCCACAATAAGGATCTGATCCACAGAATTGAATAACTGATTTAGTTTATATAAGACTGCGTGTTATTGATCGTTGACACAATCCCTTTGATTCCAGTGTGACCAGGCATTCAATGGAGTACTATACTGTCCTTGCTTGTCAATTGTTGTAGCATGTCATAGTAGTCTGCACTTCAATGCCTAAATAGTTCAGACATATAACTAGAAATAAATACTATGTTATATGCTTGCACAATATTATATGAACGTGAAAAGTATTTCTATAGTAATCTTTTCATATGTGAATATTTATTTTAATTGTCAAGACAATTACTATCGTTCCTAAATTATTTTGACGTGGAGGTCTTGTCACAATTGTTTATTAAACCCTGAAAAACTACACAATACTATGTTAAAAGGTATGTGCCTAATTAGTAGACTCTATAGTACTTTAAACACATGTTTTCATTTTGCTATTAAAATTCTCAAAACCCTCATAACAGTATTTTAGATTTCAAAAAAAAAATTATAAGTTAGCTTAGTTTAATTCAAAAATTAAATGTTAAATAAAAAACTATAGATTTCAGTTATATTATTTTTGTCAAAAGTAAGGTCAAAATTTTTAGTTCATTAAAAAAAAATGCGTGTTGTAAGGAAACGTAAGTCCCATAAGGTTCATAAAGTCAAAACTATAACAAGAAAAATATTTAGAGCTGAATTTACTTCCATTAAAAGCTCCCGTGGTCGAACAGGGTTGGAGATCTTACGTGAAGCTGTAATTTAAGATAATAAAGATATAAAACTTATTTGCTTACAATTTTAATTTCACAGGAAATGGAAGAAAATCGCAAAAAAAGAAAAAAGAAAAAGGTTCGGTTTTGAAAAAAATGGTAAGAACTATAGAAATAAGATCCACAAGTTTTTAAGTGGTATTTTGTGGAAGGGTGAGCTACGAACCACTTAAGCAGAACATAACAACCATACAAGCACAAATAAAAGACACATGACACAGCCTACAACCCGGTAGAGTTTCTGAGTCTGGAAGAAACTGCTACTGTGAAGTCTTAAACACTTGCTCGCCTCTAATTGAATCATGTAAGATTGCAATAAATGCTACACAATTACTAAAAAGAAAGATAAGTGCACATTTCTACAAGGTAAGTCATTTTCTTTTTTTTGCAAAAGGGTTATAAGGAATTCTTTTATAATATATTTAAAGACTTCAACGTATAAAACAGAAATCACAGATCATGAAAATCTTTTGAAATGTAACACACACTAATACGATTAGCAATAAAAATAATTTAGAGGTGGATTCGGAGAAGGCTAAAATTCTCTATAAGCATGGAAAAATCCAGTAAGCAAAGTTTTCAAAAGTCGATGGGGGCGTTTACTAATCTCACAACTTATTTTTATAATTGTTCCTATCTATAGCTTAGGAAATATGGTAAATACAAACCAAACACAAACAGGTATACAGATATACAGCACAGGTATAGTATAATTGTGATCTCACCTATTCAGTTAAAATCATCATTGATATATTTTTCAAGTGCGAGTTTAACCTCGCACCTGTTTAGCAACATGGAGAGAAATTCTTTATGCTCAATTACCATATCTTATTAAAATTAAAATTAGAAAAGTGTTTGAAGACCCAACTATAAAAATTTGATATATAAATTGTTTTAATTGATTTGGGGACAGAAAAGAGAAAGTCGTCTCACTATCAAATCAGATGCTGCAAGCAAAATCGACCTGGAAATGATATTACAAAAAGTCACGAGGTTGGAGTATATAATTATAAGCAACATACCAATTTTTAAGACTTGCAAAATCTTCTCGATGAAATGGTTCTGATTCTGGTAAGTAACACAAAAATTATCACAGATATTATATATTCATCAAGAATTCAATCAAACTTAACACAATCAAGTGCAGAACTGATGAGTTGCCCAATGGCTGATGGGGTAACTATTCTGACTTAGGTTCAATTCTAATTAATAAGTAAACGATCCATAGCCTTTGGATAACGTAAAATAAAGCCTAACAAATCTGAATTTAATGGACACCATCGAAAAAATAATCAAGCAGAAGTAAAAAAAAGGAAAACATCGGAATTATAAATAGAAATTTCCTTATAAAATATTTTTCGATGAGGTTCGCAGAGTTAATGAATATATAACTGCAATATTGATGACTGCTAGAGAAGCGGGATGAGAACATGACGACAAGTAGTGGAAGATCCACCTGAAAATGAAATTAATAACTTATTAAATGAAGAATTAAATGAAGATATTTATAACAGGTTCAATGTATTTCTTCCAATTCTTTGGTATTCTTTCTGTTGCAGAATTCAAAAAATTGAAATCAATTAATTTTTTCCATTTCGTTTATGGAATGTAGTATGCCTTTAAGTAGTGAAAGTAATCCACCGTTTCCAACTTAAAATGTATCAAATTACTTAAATTAAAGAATACATAAGGTATATTTAAACAACCTAATCTCCAAGAGAGATAGTTCTGGACACTATCAGGAAAAAGTACACATTTAATATATTCAAATATACTTAGAGATCAGGAATGTAATAACATTTACTTCTACTTTAAGGATAAAGTTGGGATTGCTGCTGTTCTTAGAAATATACTAGAAATGTTTGACCTGCGAATAATGGCAAGACAAAGTTATTAGGCAGAAGTCGAGACATGTGTCACAAAGAAAGTTTAAAACAACATTTTATGAAATTCGACGGTGCCAGTAAAAAACTCAACGTCTTAGAGTTCACAAAATGAATTAACCGGGTTTCCAATCACACAAATGTACCATATGGTCGTACACAATATCAGATTTTCTTAGTGTGGCTGGGTGTTTTCTATTTGCTAGTGCTATAGCCCAGTATAGTCCAAGGCATTGAAGAGAAACTTGTAATATGTATGAAAATTGGAATAGTGACAAAAACCGTAAGCCCAGTATTTTCAACAATCTTCATATGTTAAAAAATGAGGAAAGGACCTTAACATTCAACGTCATTATAATCGTTATAACCAATTTTATATTACAATTAAATTAGTTTTAAGCAACAAAAGAAATATATTTTTTAAATAAAAATATTTGGTACCGTAATTATTATCGAGCCTGGTTCATTTTTCATTAATTGTGTGGATACAGAACCATAAACTTTATTTGATTGAATCCAGAAGTGTGAAATAGGTCTTTGGAATCACAAACGAAAATTGGGGTAGTTAAATAGTCAATATGTTACAACAAGATTTCAGAAATAATAAATATTTTAAGTATTTCTGAATGTTATTAGATTACTCGTACTACAAGCCTTTATTGGAGAGTCAAAATAATTTTTCTAAATAACATGAAACCGATGTGGAGTTTTTCTTTAAAAATTTTTTTATATCGGTAATAAATACAATTGTGTGGTTATAAATACAATAAGACTAGATAAGAGCTCCCGATAGCAGATTGATCAATGTCAGACGAATTTTATTTAGACATTAATAAATAAGCTTCATATATAAGTGATATCCGAAAGGAAGAAATCTTATTTAATGAGCTCCCCTTACTGGATAATAGAAGCATGAAAAAATTGAAATTATGAATAAACCAAAGTCTCAGTTATCACCACATCTAATTTATTACATTAAAAAAAAATGAAAACAATAAGAGATCCAATGATTCTTAAAGTACTAACAAAAATTGCTCACATTACTCACATTTTTTATATCACTTCATAACCAATGCACAGTCTTTAATTTCCTAAAACGTTACCATTGTGTTTAGGTTCTAAATAGTAGTCTTATTTCTCTCTCTTAATTATTGACAAATTCTACCGTATAAATGTCAGAAAGTGTGGTTGCAAACCAAGCTAGAGCGCTGCTTTCAAAAATAGGTACCTCATCTTCGCAGTAGTCTCAGATTATAGTCGTTCTTAATTTCTTCATAAAATATACTTAATTTATGCTGTGTTATAACTATGTTGCATAGTTAGTGCAAATAGGACTAGATTAGCTATCTTCTGTCTTCATGGAAACTTTCTGTATGAAATTGAACTTAATCAACATTATATCCATTGAACGATCTCATTTCTTTTTCTCATGAATACAATTATTATAAGGTTAGTTATATAAGTACTTATAATGTTTACCTCTCAGTGGATAATATTATGGACATCTTCATATCTCTGATAAGTTATCTTATAAATAACGAGAGTGCAAATAAGACAATTGAGCTTATAGCTTCTACAAACACATCGCATTCCGTTTTGAGGATATTCTTTGCAGAGATAGTACTTATTAATATTTCCTTTCTATTTCTTTTTTAGCATATTCCATATGAAGAAGAAGTAAATTGTTTATGTTGAGACCTCTCCTAGATCCACTAATTTAATGTAAACTGTACTGTTACTGTATAAAGTATTAGTATTATCTAATATTTTGTAGCTACCAATAAGTTGCTATGAATTTCGTCTATTTTTGTGCATATGTTTTAAATAATTCTTATTATCTTAATCGGATAAATTTTGTCTAACATAAAATCGTATTTTAAGTAAAGTAGGCATGAGACAGTCATTTATTTAAATGAAATCTCACTTAGGAGAATGCCCTGAATCAATAAAACTCAATGTAGTCGATGTACACCAGATAATTAGAATTATAATTTAACTAATTATGTTTTGATATTAAAAGTATATTAGTGTTATCATTTATTAGTGTTAATAGTAGTAAGTATTTGGAGAATGTTCTAAAAATGAATTGATTAATTTTTGTAAATGAACAAAATGTATTTGGACTTTGTATTACGCACTGCAGACTCTAGAACATATTTATATTTTTATTTCACACATCTACGATTCCGTCTTTAACTGATCTTTAAATACCAATTTTTACTTATATTAATATAGCAATAATTAACCATCAATTCACAACTTACTTTGAAGAACTAACGCGGAAGTAACCATCTCGAAGATCTTAGTGAATGAATGAATCAGTGAATTACCCGAATAGAATAGAATGAGCGATGTCGAACTCTGCATCTTGTTTTCACTAAAATGTCATCTAAGCAAACAGACATATAAAATGTAATAGTTATAGTCATGTAATTTTACATGAACATTACAGAATTACAAGAGTCTAATGGAATCTTTTTCAATATATTTTTTAATAAATTATGAGCAGAAAGTACATATGGTATTTAATTTCTCGTGAAGAAAGTATTTCATACATATACTGTTAAAAATGTGACTTGACCTCGAACGCAAGGTTACTCAGTTAAATAATTGGATAGACCGATAGACCTATGAAATGAATATGTCTCAAGCATGCCGATAAAAGTAGGTATCGGTGTGCTTAGTTGGCAATGTATACTAACTTCTATTAAAGAGTACTAATCAGCTAAGTTCTTTCATATATACATTGAAGCTTTTATAGTTCTGCGGCCGCCAAACTTATACACCTACAAAGTTAACTTACAAGTATTTTTTTTAATCTAGTTTTTTTTCTACTTCATTTTTTAACAAATTTAAAATAACTTTACATTATTATATTTTTTATAATATATTATATCTGAATAAATTTTTGGTAAGATTTTTTGGTAAAAAATTTGAGTACTTCCGCCAATTACTGCCCAGTATAAAACAAAAAGATCACATCCAGTAAAGTTCAAGGAATCTTCTGTTCTAAGTAATATAGAAAAAGTTTCGTTTCTCTACTGATGAGCTAATTAGGTTTGTTAATAATAGTGTCTGTGTTTTCCAGATTCTTAAGCCGCTAAAGCCACTTTTGCGTATAAAGGATCAACTTGCGAAGGATGCCGCTAACTTCTCTACAGCGAACCGAAATACTTCGTCATTGTGTGATAATTGGAACCTTTTTTGGTTTAATAAAAAACAGTTTTTTTATTCTAATTGACTTGCTCCAGACCATATTAGCATTTTGCCACCACAATATTGCCCCCTCCGTCTCGCCTATTATTTGGTGGTTGGTAACGGGTTTATTTGGACTCGCTGGTATCGTACTATTATCTTGGCAAATTCAAATAAAATGTAAACCCCTATTCAAGAAATTACGCCTTAAGGGACTGGCCCAACTATTTGCAGTGGAACTTTGCAAGTTCAGACCACTCACATATCGTCATAGAGCATATATTCAGTCACTGTTATATGAAGACCAAAACTTACGTGCAATTTTAATTGAATTTTCTGAAGCAGTGAACGAATTGAGTTTAGGAGAGATAAAATATATGATTGGGACAAATAGAAGAACGAGACAGCTTTGTGGATATTTAAGTATATATATCACTTTACTCCTTGATCTGTAAATTGAAGCGTAATGAAAAGGCTGCGTTAATTTTGCTTTAAATTTAAGGAGTAAATTTAAAATTAATGGGTAAATGAATCATAGATTTTATTTGATATGTCCTTTTATCTTTAAAAACAATTTCAAATATTAAATAATAAATCAGAAATAGCAAATAAAATAAACCATATCAAAATGCGTATAAATATTTTAAAGAACTATAATCAAGCCAAAGTAAGTTGCCAAAGTAATGTCTACCAATGTAATGGCGACCAATTTTCTCGGAAATGAAATGCAAAGCAACCGATTGGATATGATGACGGACAGGCTAGAGATATGCATTTAAAAAGTGCATATATATTTTAACCTCGCTATAGGGCGTTCCTTTCTATAATGAAGTTTTTTCAGGTACGCAAACAAACTCAACTAGCACGTTTCAACTTATGAGCTGGTGTATATGTTCTGCAGTTAATAATAGGGAAGAATGATGTTTTCTCGGAAGATTGCATGTATCTAAAAGAAGTGTGGTTGAATTGCAGCGTTGATATAATCGGTGTATCTTTTAACAATTTTATTAATATTGAAACAATGACATAGTCGCCATAGCCCATACTGCGAATGAAGACCATATCTTTTCTGTGTGAAATAGTTTTTTATTTATCCATTTACCCTAACTTAAAGTGACTTGAGGTGATCTTTCGGTATTCTAGCCCATTCCTGAACAATGGATTTATTCAACGCATTCATACTGGTATATTTTTTAGCCCTTCTCATTGTGTGAACGAAATGAAGTGTTGAACATGATTTTTTGGTTCGAATGGTTCGTGGTTCACATAGCTGGTTGTGATTGTGATTTTCCAGCTAAATATAACGCAATTAAACTACGTTTGAGTTCCATTTCGTCAAGTTTTGTTCTATAATACTTAGACGCAAATGCTTGTGGCTGCTAGTAAACAATATAAAAAGCTGTCATTCGTATCAGTTTCACGTAGTAGACAATATCAGTTTGATAGATACACCTGTGCGCAGTTGGTAACACTTCAATCGTTTAAACCTGCATATAGAAAACAAAAATTGATAAGGTACAGGTTCCGAACAGAACACAAACCAACTGTTATAAACAGAAGTCTTTTGACTCTCAGTCTTTTGAATGAAAAGAAAAATTGCACTTGTTTAAGATATCATGATATCATAATGCCGACGATGATGAGAATTTTCTTCCATGTGTTTTGTTCTTGGCCTTTATAAAAGACAGTACTATATGTCATAAAGACTGAGCCTAAATGTTTTATCTGCTTTCCAGCACAGTCGATAATCTGTGTTTCAAGAGAGGGCCATCTTATTAAAATATTAACGTTTGCCATTCCAACTCATCAGATAACCTAGGAATAGACTAAGCTCTCTTTTTGCGGGAAGGAACATCTTACTACGAGAAGTAGAGACAAATCAGGTCTTTAATTTGCTGATTATTTGGAGTGTCACACCAATGTTAACTCATTTCAGTTTCACATTAGAGAGTTGCTAATGAGACTTCTTATTCCACAATAAGGATCTGATCCACAGAATTGAATAACTGATTTAGTTTATATAAGACTGCGTGTTATTGATCGTTGACACAATCCCTTTGATTCCAGTGTGACCAGGCATTCAATGGAGTACTATACTGTCCTTGCTTGTCAATTGTTGTAGCATGTCATAGTAGTC